ATTATGTAGTAATAAATTAGACAACAGAACGGAATACTTTGGATAATAGAGTTCATTAATTCTAACATTCGTGTTTGAATCAGCAATTCGATTATCTTCAGTTCACATGAGGATCTATGACAGCAGCGTCACAGATGTTTTTCAACATTAATTGTTTCTTCATAGTCGTCTCACTTCTATACGACTTTGCGAGGTCGATCAGTTTCGTCATTCGCGATGTGATGCGTGCGTTGATAACGTATGAGGAGGTCATACATATTTCAATTATTTTTTCATCTCTTCACCGAGTACGAAAGTTCAACTAGAGTCTACGCTCGATACGGTTTTAGTACTAATCAATTGTTATGAGAATTCTAACAGAGTCATTATTTACCAAGTAAATTCTCATACCTTTTTCCTGGAGCAGAGGGATGCGAGAGTCGTGGATGTGATTGAATATTTTTTTTTCAAGTTCCGATCCAAAGATCGGGTTTAAAACCATTGGCTCTGATACCAAAATGTAACACATCTATGTGGCTACATTTTGGTCCTATCAAAGCACTCAATTGCTTGAGCCCTTAGATGGGGAGTCACGCTTTGCCACCGTTCACGCGCGAGGGTTCCCAAGGATCATGAGTTGGCTGTATGTATCTCCCCAAGCTATGTGTCCCATACCACACAGATTAGAAAGATATCTACCTCCCCCGGCTACATGTATCTTACCAAGCTGTATGTCCCATACCACACAGATTAGAAAGATATTTATCTCCGGCCTCACTTTGCTCCGATACCAAAATGTAACACCCTAATCCGTCCAGGTCTGCAACCCCTTTCGGACTAAAGTATTAACTTGGTAATCGTATAATTTTGAACATTTCAAATAACTTCATTCATCATAAATAAAATTCGATACATAACTATAGAAAATACGGAGTGTTTAATAATAATGCGGAAGCGACTTTTTAACATGTCTCATAACAAACATAATTATTTATTTTATCAATAAATACACCACGACTATCTCGTCCCTTCTGCTCCCAGGAATATTCCAATCATTCATTTTGCCTACCTGCGTGTAGCAAATAAAACACACTACACGCTCAGCGGTAAAGCTGAGTAAGCACATCTAAAGCGTCGAACATCCACATAAATTGAATCTCAATTCATAATCAAATCATTTGATATCATGCACACAATATATGGTTCAAACATTCATGATATTCTCAATATTTTATTCCAAGTCATTTGATATTCAATATATCAGTAACGCTCTTAAATTATTCTTAATCGAAGACCACATCATTTTATATTCAGCTCTTAGCTATTCCTAGTCTAAGGCAGTAATTCTAACGAGGCCCTTAAACTATAAATAGTTTAATGCAGAACACAAGAATCGATAATCCACCCTATGAGTCATGTGGATTACGTAACAACCGAATAAACATTTTTCGGGTGGGTGATATCCGTTCTGGATCCCGTACGTACGTTTTAACCCCGGATTATGAATTGGTCAAGGAGGTATATCTTAGAGTTCTTCTAGATATCATTAATAATCATCATCAATATACAAGTGGGTATATCTTAGAGTTCTTCTAGATATCCTTAATAATATACACCGTTTTCATGACCACCATTATATTCATTTTTAATCATGATTTAATCATCAATAATCATTCTAATCAGTAGGTTTATCATTCATAATTGGCCACAATAATAATTCATCATAATGATCATTCAACATAACATTTAATAACAATTAGCGGCCTAGTCTCAGGTGTTAACACCCGAACTTACCATCATGCATCACATAAGGTTTTATGTGTCAAAAATATCATTTTTATTGTACAAAATCATAATTATATTTTTCATAATTAATTGGTATCAAAAATAGGATTTTTGGGTTCAAAAATAACATTTTCGGAAGTATTTTCGAAGCATTCAGGTCGGGGGCTCGATCCAGCTTGGAGGATCGATCCTCTTCACGATTTTCCTCCCAGGTGATCGATCCACCCAATAGAAATTTTTCTACTGCGGTGATCGATCCATCTTACTGGATCGGTCCGCCGGTTACTGTTCATCGTCTTCTACCTTCGGTCCATTTTCGGGAATATCATTTTTAGCTACTAAATTTCAATTAAACTATATAGAAATGTTCTCCAAGGTTCATAGATCATTTTAGTATCATTCATTCATGATTTTAACATCAAATTCAAGGTTTATGATTCTCGGTTATTCAAACATGTCAAATACAAAACTCAACCAAATGACCATTTATGAACGTAAAAACAACCTATATGAACATTCTAATCTTTAGATATATCTACGGGGTTACCTCGAAGCGTAATGGAGGTTTTGAATATTTTCCGGTGAAACTTCTGGCGAGGATTGTGCCTATCTCCGGCGACGGGAAGCTCTCTTGACAGCACTACTTCACTCTCTACACTCTCAGCTATCTCTTGGAAGAAGAATGGTGAGAAATGGGAGGGTTTATATAGGAAGGAGGAGTGGGAAGAAGCCATGGGAGATGACCTCCCTAACACTGTTTTGGCGTCTCAGTGGAACGCCTGGCGAATTCCTCCGATTCTAAACGCAAGTCCCTGATATGGACTAATTTGGTCCCAGTCGGGGAACACTTTTTGGTCCAACTTTCCCCGAATTGAAATCCGTTTGCACCGTTGCGTTCGGATAGTTAAACTCTATCCAACGATATAAGTTTTATATTTATTTGTAACACTTTTTCCGACATCATATTTTTGGGTGTTTGACTTTGACAGAGTCAAAATTGGTCTAATTGACCTTTCTCATAAAAGGTTCTCTCATTTAATTCATATCAGTTATTCTCATGATTTATTTTAAGAAATCATTTCAATATTTACATTCTAAACAAATTCTTTATTGGATGTCAAAACACATTTCATATCGGCCCAAAGGCCAACAAGAATTTATTTTAATTAAAACAAATTTGATTAATTGATTATTTATTCATTAATAGTTTTAGGGTATGTTTTCGGGCGTTAGAGTATGTACTATTCCATCTAATGGTAATATCTTTGGCAAATGTTATTTCTCTTTTATTCCCAGATTTACAGAATGACATCTAGGATTTCGTATTAATATGACTACCCCAAATCTTTTTAATTCCATTTTTAATATTCGTCAACCCCCCCATAGCTTTTAATCTCTGTTGAACACATAAATTTAAAACATGACAAGCACACCTTTGATGCAGAAATCTACCCATACTCGTAGTAGGGGGAAAATTTCTTTAAGTCTAGGAATAGCAGCAGTATTATTAGTAGTGATGGCGTAAATTACAACGCAAATATTAAGTGTGAGTAATCGGAAGGGTTGTAGGTGGAATCACCTGTAACCCGATTTGTTATTAATGATAATAGAAGTTATTACAAATACAAGCCGTGTAGGTTCATTAAAACATGCCTCACAAATGAGGCTTTTAAGGGTATTTATAATAATCCTAAGCACGTCAAGCACGTCTCTGATTATCCAACCGGTCAGGCGGCTGACCGGCCCACCAGGTGCACTTTGAAAGTAAATCTTCGGGTATTGGCATCTGGTCTCCTCATCCAACCGGTCAAATAACCCGGGCTGAAAAAGACGCGTGCTGTTCGGTGAACCAACCGGGTGGTATCCTTGGGTTATTACCCATCAAGGAGTCCTCCGATTCCCGGTCCTGTGGCGACCATCAGGGGCGGGAAGCACATGCGATCATTTCCTGGAATTTGAACAGCCCAGTCGCTTTTCGGCGGGGAAAT